AAAATATGAGTGCACCCGACGTTGAAAATTTATGTTATAAAACGAATTTCTAGGTGATACCAATAATTCTTGACTGAAGTTATCCTGCTCGCTCGTCTCCAAATAATTTTTTTAAAGGGGTCTGCTCCCGATTAAAATTAAAAATTGAAACATAATAATGATAAAAAATATAGGAGAAATCGTCACACCCTACCCAAGGCAAGCTGGACGAAGTCTAGCCTCAGGCTATCTTGAGTCACGTGATCAACGCCAATCCACAAAATTAATGGAACCCATACTCCATCTTAAGGATGTACTAAACTGCCCTAGTTCCCCCATCCACTGCGTTGCCTAGACAGGAAACCTTTAAAATTTAATTTGGAAATGAATTTTCTTTACCATTTGACGTGAAAAAAAAAATGATCTGGTCTATTTTGAGAGTGACCATCAGCTTTACATGATACAAGATTATGAGGTCTCATGAGAACATTGCGAAACAATTCCTTTATTTCTCCTTTTTTCGCATCCGTGATTTCTTTCATTTGAAGTAAATGATCTTTCACCAAACAACAGAAAAAAGCCATCTTTTTGTTGCGTTTTTCCAGGCGAGTGGAAGCAAACGCAAGGGGGAGCGAGGAAAGGAACTGCTTGCTATTTCGACCTGCTTTCTTCGCGCTACCCACGCTCCACACGTCCGCCTCACGCTGTCTTCCGCTTTCTGTAGTTACGTCATCTTACGTCAAAGGTATCCATGGTTACTGTAGTTTTAGTTTTGCCATGTCACGCTATCCGACAAATCACGCGATCTAAGTGTTTGAAAACCATCAGAAGCAAAATTTCACAAAAAACCTACGGCAAGTGGAGCTAGTATTCTGTGATTAATGTGTTCAGTAGAAATACAATCTCCATACAAGCGTTTAGATGTGACGGAAACTATTGATAGCGCACAGCAGAAGGTTAGTGTTTCGAAACTGAAAGTGTGAGCTAACCGAACACCCCTCCTTGAAATTGTCGGCGTCATTTGGCAATGAAATCCGCTTGAATATGAGATTTCATTTTAAGCCACAAGTGAACAAACCTTTCTCTCAACTTATTTATTTCTATTTTGATGATTGCTGAGACATCGTAGTCGGACTGAGCCAAATTAACGCATGTTGCAGGGAGCTGATTATCAGCTGAAATCGATCTGCTTCCATGACCACAAAAGAATCGAGAGTTGGCTACCGAGTGAGAGCTCCAAGTCAACCTTTGAAGGTGAGTTTGTGGACTTTATTCCATGCATACTGAGTTGAGTTTCAGTTTGAGCACGTTCTTTTCACATCAATACGACCTCAAGTGAATCTACGCCGCGCTAGCAAGCGTTTTGCTCTTCCAATTTTCTTTCGAAGGGTAGGGGTTGGCCGCACATAGGCTAAATTGCGCATGAGACTTCAAAAATACGTTCCTAAGGGTGAAGGAAATCGCTCGTAGAGTCGAACGATCCGTTAAATTTTACCGAGTTTGTCGAAATCACTCGAACAAAATCGATTCGTGTGTTTGTGCAACGATTAAAATCGAAGTCCTGATAAGGTCCTGATACCTGACAGATCACTTACAAGCACGACTCGATTAGAAACTGAAAATAACATTAAGATTTGGATCACACAAGAGTGCTAGCCAATTCAGTATTCACCATTTTAGCTTATGTCAAGTTAGCGGTAGTCTCATTCTTAGCTTCGTGAATACAATCACCGCAGCACCTCGTGCTATTTTGTATTCCCCGTTCGTACTGTATTGTGCTTCATTTGTTTATCTGGTGCCACGTCCTTCTCTCGCGTCTCTATCCACATTATATATGGCAATAAGTTATATGTAAACAATTTATTTCCTGAGAGTAAAAGGGTAGTTGTCGTGAGGACATAAAACTTATCGGTGATGAACATTAAACCAGTATGTTGTGTATTTGTTCTAAGGCCTCTTCTGTCAGATTATTTGATGATTTAAGTCGGTTACCTTTTCACGAGGAGGCTAAAATTTCCAAACGTCTCATTGCATTTAAGAGACTACCGGGAGAACCGCTCACGTATATTACTCGCCTTTTAACACGTAAAAGTGATCTTCACTCTGGTAACACTAGGTATGTAAACTATAAATTAGTATGCCGAAAGTTTAAACGTAAATCAGACGGCGTTAAAACTTTCAATGTTACCACATGTCAGCTATGGAATAGTTTACCTATCACCTTACAACAAAAGACATCAGTACTAAGCTTTACGAAGACCTTGATATATTTTTTCTCGGAAACCAACATAGTTTGAATCATTTCATAGTCTAGTAGGTTCCTTTTTATAGTTTCCAAACTCTGTCATTTAATCCTTGAGATCTACTTTATTTTAAATTTTATCATAGGATTTTTAATCTTCTTTTAACTGTTCTTCTATTTCTACAATAATGAATTTATTTTAACTTATTGATATCTATATTTGTATTAGTATTATCATATGTATTGTATGAGGGCCAAAAGTTTATTAGCCTTTTGGCTATTAAGTGCTACTCTCTTTAAATAAAGAGTTTACTTACTTACTTACTTACATACTTTGATGTTTATCGATGTCATCGATAAGGTTTTTTGCGAAAAATCGGCTTCGGTTGATAATTATGTCTCGGGATAATAACATACGTACACAGTAATTTCCTTTAAAATCAATTTGTCATACTGAAATATTATCTAAGGCTGAAAACGCAATGACATAAGAGTAAACATATGATTAGATTGAGTTTATTTCATGAATTTTGCCACAGGTTAAACAACACTAAAGTGTAAAGGAGTATGATCATATAGATTGTTTTGGTGGAATTCTGAATCAGGAGAAATTCGTTTTTTCCCGAATGCGATCAACATTTATCTTCTCCTTACATTATTTCAATATTCAAATACATTGTAAAACACGCTGGTGATTGGAGTTAGGAGGCTATCAGCCAAAAGGCACGGAATGCTGCCCTAAATCCCCCTAGTTTACATGCATAGAAAGTGTCTGACCGGCTAGAAGCGAGAAGTTTTACTCGGATCTCTGTAAGAAAAGGTCAATTTGATTTTCACACTACGTGATACATTAGGGCTCCTATTGATAACAGATATACTTTTAAGTATTCTGAAGGGATTACCCTAGTTAAATAAAGGTTTGCTGCTATTTCTTCACGGTCACAGCCATATGTCACGCTTTTTTTAAGTCACGTAAAAGCAGATTTGAAAAGCATTTGCAAGCAATTTTAACAGAGAATCAGTAATACAGAGGTATTTAAAACTAGTTTGATGTAATACCCTTGCTGGCCTTGAGATGTAACGGACATTTTTGGAAGTGTGGATAAAAAGTTGAGACATTAAGATCGAACGTCAAACTTACCAAAAATTTTTGTCTGGGTCAATTGGTTTTAAAATCGGATATCTTATTCATTCTACCAGTGCTAAGCCAGGAAGACTGACGAAAAAGCAGCAAGAAAATTTCTCGGTTAAAAAGTCATTGACCTCTGCTCAATTAACGATCCGGTATTTCTTCATGGCCACCGCTGCAGCACCTTCGTTTCATTCGACAAAAGAGACAACCAATTACGCCCGCTTATGCAGGCTTCTGGTGGATGTCAGTGCACATATCTTGAGAGACACCTTTGATAAGAGGCGTCCAACAGGAGACCTGAACGCAGTTTTGTCGAGTCCTCCAGTTCATGCAGTCTTACAATCACTTCGAAATAAAAGAATTCTTAGTCCTTTTCAATGGGTAAAACTATATCCTGCCATCAAATCTGCAGTTTCATCAAAGAATTTCGATATCACTCTACTGATGGTTTTGCTGAGGAATATATGCGGTCTTGTTCGTCCGGCTACCGGCTGGGATACACTTCCTCCTGAAACAGACACAACCCTTGAGGCAGATATCGTTCGCATCAAGTGCTACAGAAACACAGTTTATGGTCATGCCAGCGAGGCCTCAGTTGATGACCCAACATTCAATCAATACTGGCAGGACATCCAAGATGCATTGGTGAGACTAGGAGGAGCTAATTACCAAAGTGCTATCGATAATCTGAAAAATGAATCCATCGACCCTGAGATCAAAGAACACTACAAAGAGCTTCTTAAACAGTGCATCATGGATGAAGTCAGCATCAAAGAAAGACTGGATGAAATTGGTAAAAGCCTGGATGAATTAAAGGAAGCAATCGTTAATCCTAAAAAGAGAGCAGGAGACAAAGGTATTGTGTATTAACAGTAAAATCTGTGCAACGGCCTTTTGATCTTTCTTAAGAAGAGAAACTTGAAGAGGACAATTAAAGGGCCTCTTATCACAGGGTAATAAGCAATATTACAATCAGTTCATTTCAGTATTGTAAAATGCCTACCTTTAAAAATGGCTCAAACTCGGAGAAATATCTTCCACTTGAACTGACCCCTTCCGCTTGGACCCAAAATTAGAAAAAGACCAGGTGTTGTCTTCTCCATGCTTTTTTCGGGTGATAAGCGAGTTATTTTTTATTGATTTATTTTTATTTTTTGTTCCTTGTACGGGGAGTAAGAGAACTCATAGTTGAAATAGATTCCCTTCAAGGTCATTTGCACCAAAAAACTACAGTAAGTCTTACAGTATTTACCTGGTCGGGTTCGTCGAAAGAAAAAGGGTTAATTTCTTAATGAACTGAAACTTACTGCAGTCTGTCTGTCTATTTTCATGATGAACTAGAGACGACAGGACGCTTTGTCTCCCCTAAGTGTACTTAGGCCTTACTTAATCTCTAGCGTTAAACAGAGAAAAAAATACGTGTTCTGCGTCAAAGTTAGTTCCTCCCGTACCATAAATTCCTGAATTCGCTCTTGAAATGGGTCGGTTAGTGTTGATAATCATGCGATTTCGAGTACAGTTCAGAATAAAACAGCACGAGTGAATTTTTTAAATGCGAACAAATTGCACGAGCCTGCAAGACGAGCACAGTTGTAGTTTTTGAAAACTTACAAATACTGATTTACCCTGGACTGCATAAGAAAAATCATGCGATTACTTATTAATGATATCCTAGCAAATATATGACTCTGTTTCCCGCTTTCTTACGAACTGATGCGTTTCCTCGAGAAGTTTGTTCAGCGTTGCCCAAAACTTTCAGTCTTTTGGCGTTGTTTGTGCTTTGTTTTGTACCTCTTTAGTTGTTTAGTTGTTAGGGTCTCCGATTCATGTTTTTCAGCACTGACGGATCTAGGGGAGGGGGCCGGGCTTCCTGGGCCCCTCCCCTTATCTTGGATTAAAAAAAAAAAAAAAAAAAAAGGAATCGCAGAAGGAAGAAAAGCCGGCAGGACAAGGGACAAAAAATCAATGACTCTTTATCCCGCATTGGAAAAGTTAATACTTAAAGGGTTTATGAAAATAAATGCAGGTAACGGTTTTCTTTTCAGCTGTAGCGGAATACTCTGATGCATTGAAAGAATCAATAAGAAGGCAAACCGAGTACCTCGCTCAGGCCTCACCGACCATGTCCAATGTGAGAACAGATCACATATTCACCAACATTCTCATGCAACATGGAAGAAAGCCAGTCGAAGATCTTGATGTGAAACGAAAAGAACACCTTCGCCAGTACGGTCAAATTAGTGGAAAGCAAATCAAAAGCGCTCAAGAAATATTCATCCCAATCGATGAGAAACAACCAGAATCTGTTCTTGTCACTGGAAAGGCAGGCATCGGTAAAACACTGTTTTGTCAAAAGCTGATCAGAGATTGGGCTGACAACAAATTGTTTTTACCTGATTTTAAGTTCGCATACTTGCTCTCGTTCCGTCAGCTTAATCTACTTGGGGACGACCCTGTTACCTTGAAGGATATCTTAAACCGATCTTCAGTGCTAGATGACCACTCAAATATCGACGACTCTATATTTGAGTACATTGTTGATCATTCCGAAGAAGTTTTGATTATCATCGACGGGTATGACGAGTGTTCACAACGAGAGTACATCGCTAGTGATTCGGATGAAAAGTACCCAAATAACGCCAAAGAGAAAATGCCAGTAGCAGCACTGTGTGCCAAGCTTATCAAAGGAAAAATACTGAGAGGTTCGGTCGTCATGATCACGTCAAGACCCGACGAATCTGACGAAATGAAAGCCAAAGACATCTATTTTGATAGATACGTTGAAATTACAGGATTTTCCGAGCCACAGGTAAAAGAATACATTGGAAAGTATTTCAAAAACAACGACCGAATGAAAAACATTGTAATGGACCACATTACAAAGAATGTCAATCTTGTCAGCTTTGCCCACATTCCTGTGCTCTGTTTTCTTATGTGCTCTTACTTTGAATATACTCTACAGCAACCAAAGAAGAATAATCCTCTCCCAGTGAAAACAAGTGACCTTTATGATGAAGTGGTCAACATGTTTGTGCAAAAGCACGATAGAAAGAAAAGCGCCTTTGTCGAAGAGACTCTGGATGAATTATCAAAGCTGGCAGCTCAACTCCTTGAGGAGAGAAAGTTTCTTTTCCTTAAAGAGGATTTGAAAACTTTGAACTTACACGAGCTTGAAAGTCTGTGTGGAAGCGGTCTTCTTCATTGCGGTCCTCCTTTCAGAACATCTTTTTCTGCGACGACTAAACATTTTTGTTTTACGCATTTGACTCTCCAAGAGTACTTAGCGGCTCGTTGGTTCGTAAAGACAAGAAAAATCCCCCCCGGAGATGTGTCCACAGAAGTAGTTCTATTTATGTCCGGTATTTTGTCCAAGGAAAAAGACAACGAATTTGTGAAAAAGTTGATTATCAAAAAAATTCTCAGCGTCTCATTGTCAGATACAACTACAAAGAGGCTATTTATTTCCAAATGTCTCCTACAATACGAAGACATCGAGTTTGCCAAGGAAATAGTAAAGGAATTTCGCAACGTATTCTGCCCACGTGTTGGACATTTTGATCTTTCTGGCTTCGGGAGGGCCAATGTGGACTGCATTGCTGTGTCTTTTGCATTAAATGTTTTTGGTGCACTTAATGCAGAGGAAAAATCTGAATGGAATAGAATCACCACACTTAACCTAAGTCATTGGAATGTCGCCAATTTTGCCGGTCTATGTGAAGCATTACAGACACCAACATGTGAAGTCACCAAACTTAATCTGGGTTTTACTCAGATCACCGATGCCGGTGTTGCCAGTCTATGTCAAGCATTACAGACACCAACATGTAAAGTCACCGAACTTCATCTGAATCTTATTCAGATCACCGATACCGGTGTTGCCAGTCTATGTCAAGCATTACAGACACCAACATGTAAACTCACCGAACTTAATCTGTGTGATAATAAGATCACCGATGCCGGTGCTGCCAGTCTATGTCAAGCATTACAGACACCAACATGTAAAGTCACCGAACTTAATCTGGGTTTTACTCAGATCACCGATGCCGGTGTTGCCAGTCTATGTCAAGCATTACAGACACCAACATGTAAAGTCACCAAACTTCTTCTACCTGGTAATCAGATCACCGATGCCGGTGTTGCCAGTTCATGTCAAGCATTACAGACACCAACATGTAAACTCACCGAACTTAATCTGGGTGGTAATCAGATCACCGATGCCGGTGTTGCCAGTCTATGTCAAGCATTACAGACACCAACATGTAAACTCACCGAACTTAATCTGGGTGGTAATCAGATCACCGATGCCGGTGTTGCCAGTCTATGTCAAGCATTACAGACACCAACATGTAAAGTCACCATGCTTTATCTGGGTGATAATCAGATCACCGATGCCGGTGTTGCCAGTCTATGTCAAGCATTACAGACACCAACATGTAAAGTCACCGAACTTCATCTGGATGGAAATCAGATCACCGATGCCGGTGTTGCCAGTCTATGTCAAGCATTACAGACACCAACATGTAAAGTCACCGAACTTCATCTGGATGGAAATCAGATCACCGATGCCGGTGTTGCCAGTCTATGTCAAGCATTACAGACACCAACATGTAAACTCACCGAACTTAATCTGGATGAAAATCACATCACCGATGCCGCTGAGAACCGTCTAGAGTATATTTTGGAAGAAAAGAGTCGTATCTACCTTTCTTATGATGAAGAAGACATTGACTAATAATTCTGTTTTTGGAAAAGGTATACGAAAGTTCAAAGACATAGGGTTGACTTGACAGTTTCAATAGTGAACGCTTCAACGCTGTAAACGCGTTATCCTTTTGTTGTCCTTAAAATGCATTTATTACTTAATATTTGAATAAATAAGAGATTTTCATTAAAAAAATCACAAGATTCCGAGTACAATTTGGGATAAATTAGCATGAGTGAACTATTTAAAGGTCAACCAAATTGCATGCGCCCGTAAGGCGTGTGAAATTTTTAGTTCTTGAAAAATATACGAGTGCTTGTTTAACTAACGTAACCCTAACCCTAACCCTAAGCAAATTGTACGAGAAAAAACGTGATTATCTGTTAATAATGTACATGCAAAACTCTGTTTTCCTCTTAGTCGTGTTTATTTCGCGTCATGTCTGAGTGGCTCGACTGCTTGCCTTTGTGCTGTTGCCGGAGTAGTTAGGGTTTCACATCTCTCAGTCATAAGACAGCGCAAGAAAGCATTTTGTGCGATCGCGAATATTGCCTATCATAACCGGTTAAGGGTCAGACAAATGGGAGGGGGGGGGGGGAAGGGATGGAGTGAGGCAAATAACCTTGATGATATCCGTCTTTTTGTCTCCCCTTCGAAAATTATTTAATGACGACAGTAATTTAACCCTTTATTTACAATTTTAAAAGAGTTCAAGTCTATTTGCCTCACAGAGAGAGCGTAATGCGACGAGTTAGGATTCGGTCTTCTTGAAGTTTTTGTTTTCGTGCTATTTTCACGACCGTTCTAAATATTTCCCACCTTATTGTACGCTTTGTGACTTTAGAGTAAACTTTGACTTGGACTGCTTAGATTCGTTAAATTCTTTCGTTAATTGGAACACATTCCAAAATCCTCCCTTGACCTTCTGTACATCCCTGCGACTAAAAAGTTCCCCACCCAACCCGGGTCTAGGCATCGTTTAACTGGGATTCATCGAGTCTTTATTCCTAATTGAGTAGAACTTTTTGAACTTGACATCCAAATGCTTAGATTGTAGCCCTTCTTATTGAAGATTCAAACGGATACTTTGGGTACTAATCACAAAAAAGAAGTTCCTGATTTTGTTCACTGTTCTGGAGAACTGTGATGACCGGTCTATTGATAAAAACCATCAACAATCTTCTCTCTCTCCTAGCTTTGACATAACGGAAAAAAGGAACAAAACAATTCAACTATGACAAAGTGAAAACCCTTATTTCATCACATCACCAAAAATGTTTCGTTTCGTAAGCGGGAATTTGATCTGAATCACAAACAAAGGACAGTGTCTTTCCTGGAGCGCGACGTCCAATGCCCGAATATACGCTAGCTACGTTCAAATTACTCTGAATGTGTTCTTGTTATTTTAATAATATGCAAACGCGAGCTAACTTTATGAAATCCAGCCTATTACTTACAAAATGTTTACATCATCGTCAATTTTCTGAGGCATTTTTAATTTGAGAATGTCAAATCAAAATTTGTTTTGGTTGTCTGTTTCCTTACTTGTTTTCTTTGTCACTTCATAAACTGTTGAAGAAACTTCCTGAGCAATGTTTGAATTTCCAACTTCCTTTCGCAAAATGCGGGGCAACGACCCAAGAAGGTGTTTAACCTCGGTTTTCCTTTTTGAATCGTTATGGCTGCTCCAAGGTAAACTTCAATGACCGGAACAACTTCGCCTCTACCAACATAGACATAGGCCAGGTTTTCAACCTGACGCTCATCTATCCCAAAATGACGCATACTATTTTTTACTTCAGCGAACCAATGAAGTTGTCTAAATTGTATTCTGTTTCATACTGTTCCTCGTCCCATAGTTCTCCCAAATTTTCAATCATAGTTTTGAGCGAAGTCTTCCCAGTCGCATTCGACTGTTGTGCATTTGGTTTTTCTCTCTTTTTTTCCTGGTCGACTGAAAAGAGATCCAGGAGTTGTCCAGTATCCATGGTCAATAGGCTTGAGTTGTCTTGCGAGATCACTGTGTTGGCGATGTTCAGTTTAAATTTCTGGAGTCTAACAGAAAAAAAAAGTCCGACTTGAAGACTCAATTTATAAAATATCTAAGTGTATAGTATGTTATCACTTGACAATTAGGTTTAGAAACGAGCGGACAATGAGAATGTCTTTCATAAGTTTGAGAACAAAGGAAGACGCGAAAGAGGTGTTGACTGTTCTATCCACCTTGGGGAAATTGGAAAGCTGACTACAAGTTGTTATTAAAAACTGGATCACTGGATAATGCAATTCAAGAGTTTTCATTGGCTTAGCCATCATGAGTTATGAGTCATCACGCGCGCACATGAAGACGAGTTAAATCGGAAGTGTTTTTATACATTGTAACATTCCGTTTTTCTTACAAAATGAAGTTGGGAATATTTATTTATAGTTTGGGGCATTTTTGATAAAACGGTCAATCTACTCGCCCTTGTTGGATATGAGATGATTAGCGCCAACGAGACCCGTCATCTCATATCCAACGGGCGCTCGTGGAATAATTGTTTATTAGACGATACTCCTTCATAAATAAACTTTTACCGCTGCGTCAATGGGCAAGTGAGACACTTACATTAAAAAAAAAAAGTGGAAAAACGTTTGAGAAGCTGACTTTTCAAGCGTCACCCGCTTTCGGAAAAAACTTAACGAGCGTTAATGTTAGTCCTATCTCAGGATATCTAAATGGCTTAAAGAAGGGGCTTCTCGTCGAGAGTGTAACCTAAAAGAAAAGCCTATTTGCACTGTGCTGTATGATTCAAATAGTGCTGCTTTAAAACCTACCCCATAATCTTTTCCTCGAGTGTTCCCCGTGTAATCAATCTGTACACGTTTACAACCTTCTTCTGTCCAATACGATGAGATCGGTCCATGGCCTAGAAAAATGATCGAAGCAATCAAGAAAAGGCAACTGATCGCATCTACCAAAAACAAAGCTTGAGCAAAGTTGGTGAAAATCGGAATATACAGGGGGGAGGGGACAGGTTCAAAAGGTTGGTGGTTACGTACTTGTAGGTCCTTCATTGGGTTCCAGTCGTGCTCCACAAAGATGACCGTATCGGCACCAGTCAAATTCAATCCCAGTCCTCCAACATGTGTCGTCAACAATAGAATGTCGATTGAGGGATCGTTGTTAAATCTGAGGATAAAATAAGTCTCTAAGTAACAGAAAAGCTGTTAAACGTCGCGTTTATTATCCAAAAAAAACGTTGAAAACAGAAAATCGTTACCAGTCGGCCCATTCAGGGTGCATCACAGAAACCTGGCAATGATTTGTTCGTGGAGAAGCCATCTGTAGCATAGCAGTCTAGGTATGGCATACTTGTGAAAATGTCATGTACTTGTCATATAGTTGTGACGATTAATTACGTATGCTAATGTCGAGACGATATCTAGGGGGAGGCGTGCACCGAATACGGGACTTGTGTGTATAGGTTATATGTCGTAGGTTGTCTTGTAATATTGTTTGGATACCAGACCATCGTTTCCTCCCTTTGTTCCGCGAGATATTGGACCATGGCCAATAACCGGAACCGAAAAATCTCAAATGAAAGAATTCTCACCTTTGTACGAGCGAGTGACGCGAGCCCGCAGGCGTACTTCCATCTAGTCTGAGGTATGTCGCTGTAGGCATATGTTTTCTGCGTGAATAAAGCAAACTGAATCTAAGAAGCAGGCTAAGTTTCAAACCTTTACATCTTTCCACTCCCAAAGGCTGAATATTAATGAGAAGATTTACCAGCCACTCCGACAATTCACTTCGTATTAAATGAAGAAAGTTTGATAAAATGATACTTTGTCCTTGCAACACGTCGTACAAATATAAACTGTTTTAAACGTGTTCGATCACCACAGCGACAACATGAGACGTAGCGGCGAGGTACTACCCACGAACAAGTACACATAGAGTCTTGTTTTGGTTAATTGTCAAATGGACAAACCAAAGACGACTGCAGCAATATCAATAAGCATGGCGAAAAAAAACAATTTAAACAAAAACAAAAAGATTGCTCTTACTTAAGAAGATCATTTTCAACGATGTCTAACATGCTCTTTAACTGACAGAACAACAGCACCCGGTGTTGGGACACTAAAGGGTCTGAAGACAGATCACTGGAGCCTGAGGTTGAGGAGCTAACTCCTATCCCACAATCCATCAAAAGCCGCCTGTAGATCAAATTGTAGACAGAAAGAGAGAATTAGTTCAACTAGAGTTTAAGTAACCTGAGGCGTACATCAAACAAAACTATTTTTACAATCAGCTAAAGGTGAAACGCCTAAACGCCTAAACGCCAACATATGTTTTGACGAGGGAATGTTCTTGATAGGAAAAAATGACACCTCTAAGCAAAGTATGCTGCTATCAGGGTGATAGAATGCTCAGTAGTTTTTATGAACTGGTTACAAGGAAAGGATGAAAACAGAGAAGACCTTACATTAGGTGAGGAATTTTATGAATTTCATTCAAGTAAGAAACCGCCATTTTCAAGAAACTCAGAAATCAATGGTACTGTAGGCGTGCCAGTCTAAGAAGAGTGCTTGCAAAAGTTCAAAGTCTATCCGTAAGAAATCCGTTAAAATATAATTTTTTTGGTAACCACATAATGCCTTGAAGTTACATTAACAAATAACCTGACTCACTTAAGAACAACAAGTTTGGCGGCATGCTGAATGTCCCGTGTGGAGACATGTTGATGTAATTGGTCCATAACTTTGGTGTATTCTGGATGATTGGCAGTGAGCACCAAAAGCGGGTGGTTTCATAGCTTGTGCAGGTACTGAAGAGCCTGGGAATTATTTACATGTCAGATTGAATGAATATTCATACTGCATAAGGTTATTTGTGGTAAGCACTGAGGACAAACCAGAGTCCATGATCAAATTCACAATTAAACAAGTAAAATAAACGTTGTATAGCAGTAAGAACGAAATCAATACTAACCTGGAAAACGTAAGGATTATCTTTGCTTGCTTTCTCGTTTTTGTTTTCTTCATCCATGTGAGAAACTGTTTCCTCCAAACCTTTCTTGACCTGAAACTTGGCTAAGTCTTCATATAACTGAACCTGTAAAATGAAAAAAAAATTTTCTTGAGTGAGAGGAACGATCTGG